GCTTAAAATAGGAGCGTTGCAATTTTGTCCCCCGATTATCAGTGGAAGCCTTGTAGCACGACTTTATAAAATTTATAATTAAAATATATACAGTTGGTTTGAAATTAAAAGTGATAATAAATTCCGTAACTATCAACTGTATATCTTCAACATGATCCATAGAATAAAGCAACAGTTGACTTAAATAGAGATTGTTGCATTAAACACATTTAAAGCACAATCCTTTCGTCTAGCTTCCAGAAAATATTCTTTTTCCAATGTTGAAATCGGATGAATTGAACGTGAGGAAATAAACTATATATATTACTAGGCTAATTTTAAAATTTCTTTGAAATGACGTAACAAAAATATAACCATATATGGGTAAATTTTAAATAAAAGTATTCTTTTGTTTCAGAAGTAGCTAGATACCAAAGATTAAATTTGAAAAAAATTATATTCGTCAACTCTGAAGTGACAAAATGGTCAAATTTGGTTAATCTCTCATAAAATGAACTTGAGCTTGCAGGATTTCTTTTCAAATAATGAACTACAAGAAGTTCTAATGAATGGAACGACGTTGGAAGTGTCAAATTTAATTTATAATCGCAAGGTGTGGAAAGAGATAAATTAGCCACTGAAGTTTGACAAATTGTAGAAAGGCAGAACCGGACACTTCAAAGTGGTGTAATGGTTAGCAAGCTTGTCTGGCTAAAACAATAACGACTGAGAAGTGAGTTCGATCCTCAATGGATCTCCCATAATTTCGTGCCACATCTAAGCTACGCTTCGAAAATCAACATAGGCAATAACCAAGACACAAACACATTATTACTAAGTCATTGTGACGTCAACTAAGACCTTAATATACTTAAATGAGCTATATTAAATTCAATTAGCTGAAAGATTTAGCTAGATTATAATATATTATACATTGAAGAAGTTCATTACTTACATTATTCGGACTATTGTTGTCATATTTATTACAACGTTTCGGCCGTTGTACGCTCCGGCCTTCTTCAGGTGGTTGGAGTGTGAGTTCAATACCCGGCTAAGGCAGTGGAGAACTTTCAGAGGGAAAATTAACAGGGGATAACTGATAACTGACATCCATTAAGACATGGAACTAGAACAGTCTACCCCAGTGAGCGAAATAAAGGGTTCAGTTCGACGTTCCAACCACCTGAAGAAGGCTGGAACGTACAACGGCCGAAACGTTGTAATAAATATGGCGACAAAGATGAGGACAATAGTCCGAATAATGTAAATAATGTACAATAATACCTCATCTCAGAAATATAGACAGATAGTGAAGAAGTTATATTTTGATTTTCAATAAACAATGAAATTTACCATATTTGTCTTATACTTTGTGTTTAAGATATTATGGTGTATATACAATTTTATCTACTTTTTTTTTAATTTATGCCCTAACAAATGTTGTAAGATATTATTCATTGATCGGCATTTTTTTTTTTTTTTTTTTTTTGTAATCTTTTACAACTTTTACACAGATCTCACTTATCGAATACAGTAAAAATCGCATATTTTCCTTCTTGTGATTCCTAATTAGTATTCTAGTTTTAAGATATTTTCCGTTTAATATCCAAAACAAAAATATTAATTTCATTTCGATTTATTTTTGAAATAGTAACATTTTGAAGGCAGTTTTTGAGCAAAAAACCTGCGGAAATTAGGTACTTCTGTACATTTTTTTCAAGCGATATTTAATACTAAATGCTTAAGAATAGGTAATATCTATGAATCTAATTCTTGATCACAGCACTGATCACATCAAACTCCATCCTTCACACCAAGTGTAATTATGATTTTCAAAAAAAAAAAATGAAATATCAAACTGCCCTATTTCCATATACGAGGGCCGATATTACTTAGTAGTTAACAAGTGACCGTTTGTTTTTTTTCCTTTATCTCCATCTTGTAGAGAGTCGTTCGTCAATATTTCCAATTCTTTATTGTTCTTATTAATCAAAGACAGTTCCATCCTTCTCGGAATCCTTACTTTTGACCATTTTATTCATCCTAATTTCTAGTGCCAGAAAGGTTTGGTATTTTGCTTAATAAAAATAGCATTGATGTTACCAAAAGACAATGTAGATTCTCGTACTACTAAATGCCAAGATTGAGTTTCGTCCGAACGTAATTTTTTTTTCTTATGGATTCTTCCAGTCGAATTAGAAATCTGAAGGACCGACCTTCTGAAATTATTAAGATACAAGGATTAAAATTAATGAGAAAACGTCAAAATTTAGAATACGCCAATAAATAAAATTCATCCGATTGAATAAAACATATCTAGGTCGAAGGAAACAAAGTAAATGGAAATAAAATACTGGAAACTTTAACATCAATCTATTATCATTTTCTGCTGTTTACATACTTTCCCTATCTTTTTAGGGGGCTTACAGCCTCATCACGCTGAAACAGTGGTTTTCGAACGATTAATGATTAAGCAACGTCGAGCTTGATCAGTACCTAGATGAGTGACCGCTTAGGAATATCAGAGGCTGCAAACTTCGATGTGCGGGTGGTGTAATGGATAACGACTCTGAATTGTTAATAGGAGGACTGAGTTCCAATTCCAGTGGGTTCGTTATATTCACTTACGCGCAAATGCTCTTAGCAAAAATAAGAATCCACCTCTTCTCCACCAGCTATAGGTTAATTAGTGTGACTTGTATAACTAAATCATGATTATCGCCCAAAAAGTAAAATCTTGGAATCTAAGAATATTTTAACACATAATATCAACTACTGGTGAAATCTAAGAAGATTTAAGAAACGAATCTAAAATTACGAATAATACTCGACACGTATTCTTTCTAAAAACGACATAAAAATTTGCTGCTAAAGAGCATTAAATGTAACCCTGAATGCATATTCTTTTTTTATGTTTTTTTTTTTTTTTTTAAGCATTTCACCCCAAGCAAGGCGGGAAGCCACTAAGACGCAAGGGGTTACAGAAAATTTAGAGCAAGATCAGATAGGAGTGATAGAAGAAAGGATGAGGGTAGTGGATAGATCAAGACAACTGGAGATGTCGATTGACATTACACTAGAATAGCTGGAGATTATAGCTCACAGGGAAACAGGAAAAGAGAAGGGAGTTCCACAGGCGAGAGGTGCGAGACATGAAGCTATTAGAGTAGAAGAGACGGCTACATTTAGGAGTTTCGACAGTGAAGGGGTGAGAGCGGGATGCCAGCCTCGTAAGGCGCTGGAACTCATGACGTCTGGGAACCATCGAATGCAGCTCCTCGGACCAATTTCCATGAAAGTATTTGTAGAACAGACAGAGAGAGGCGACGGCGCGTCTGTGAGAAAGTGACTGTAGACGAGATGCCAGAGCAGGGCCAACTACATTGCATATCCGCCTCTAGAGCCTATCAAGAACCCCGAGGCAAACAGAAGGGGCACCAGACCATATATGGCAGCAATACTCCATATGTACATAAATAATTCAGGATGTGGGTGATCATGACTCTCCACAACTTCTTATCGTTTATAAATATAGCGATATACGATGATTCTCATTAAATGAACGGGATTGAGCTTATGACGACTCGAAATTCTTAGCACTCTCCGGTCAGTCTGGACGAATCTATTTTGATCGGGGATCAAAGTGTGTGCTAGGAATTGTGATTTTTGATGTGTTATAATCAAGCTGAAAGGAGGAAGGTGTTCAAGGATCATAAAAGAAGAAACATTTTGCCAACTAGCCACCCCACAGAGCGAGCCCTATAAGGTTAATTAGTAAGACTTGTATCACTGAATCATAATTATTGCCAAAAAAAGTAAAATCTTGGAATCTAAGAATATTTTAGCACTTAATATCAACTACTGATGAAATCTAAGAATATTTAATATTTAATTCATCCTAATTTCCATAAATCAAATGTTCTTATTAATCAAAGACAGTTCCAACCTTCTCGATAGTATAAGGAGGAACCATATTTGACAATCTTCATTTTTTTTCTCTTTTCATGATTTAGTAGCAACTCTCCAGCCTCGCTGTTTATGCACATGAATAAACCAAAATAATTTCTACCATATTTTTCGATCATGCCACTTTTTCTGTATCAAGCTGCAGTAACCACTAAAAGGAGATATTTAAACCATAAAAGGCTTTTAGGCCAAGCCGAAAAGCTACATTGTTCTAAGCAATGTTTGTATCATTGATATTTTTTAATTATCTATGCTGGTATCCATTTAAAACAATCTCGCTAGGTAGATTACTTTAACTTTCCCTCTTGCCTCCATTATGTCCTCTGAGTGTCAAATTCTCCAAGCCCTCTTTCCTCGTTTATTCCAGATATTTCAACGGTGTCTTTATGATTCTATTTACAAGTGTACTTTTTGTTTCCATGTTTCCTTAAAAAAAGAAAATTGTTTAAAACATTCCTGCTGTTTAGTTTCCGTCTTAAATTTCAGTTTTTTTCTACGCTTAAATTTAAATTAAAATTATTTAAATTAATTTTTTTAAATGTTTCTCAAAATTTATACTTAAAACAAATGAATTAGTAAACTTCATTTTAATTAAGCTTGACTTTTATTTGGTTTATTTGTAAATGCAACAAAATATACAAATTTGACAGAGAAACTCAAAATAGCTCTTATAGAGTAGAAATCTTCAACGAAAAATCAATGTTTTGCTGCCTTTGTTGATAAAACCGTTAATGTAAGGAGCCGAGTTAGAATTCCAGTCGAATCCATTACATTCACTTATGTGATAATATCTTTGGTAAAGATATTCTCCTCCTCCCCGGGACACCCATCTATGGGTAGATAGCAGGATAGAGCGGGTTCTATAGCCTTGGATGGCAACTGGTCTACCGCAGAAAGAAATGGCAACCTACCACGGGAAAAAAAATATCTGCCTCGTCAGTCATGTATCGAAAGATACATGATCACCTAAGCGTGTATCACGCATGGCACATAACTGACTGAAGGAGTAAGAAGGCATACAGAACATCAAATTCACGTTTGAAATTTAATATGGCTTACGGTCATATCGCATTGAAACATCTGTTCCCGTACGAACACCGAAGTTAAGCAACGTCGAGTCTGGTCCGTGCCGAGATGTGTGACTGCTAAGGAATACATGATGAGATAAGATTGGTGTTGCGTGAGGTGTAATGGGTAATGCCTTGGAATTGTTAATTGGATGGCCGAGTTCTAATTCCCCTTGGGTTCGTTATATTCACTTACGAGCAAATACGCTTGGGAAAGACATGGATCCACCACTTCTATCCCCAGCTATAGGTTAATTAGTAAGATGTGTATCCTCAGACCCTTATTATTCCAAAAAAATACAATTGAATAAAAAAAAATAATATTTAGATTTTGGCTTTAAATAACCCTTAGAAATTTATATGCTGCAAACAAAAACAACTAACAACTAAATTTGGCAATTTCATGCCCCCCTCTCTTTATGAATTTATTCTCACTTACATTATTTACATTATTCCGAATTTTATCCTCATCTTCATTGCCATATTCACAACGTTTCAGCCGTTGTACGCTCCGGACTTCTTCATAGTCCAGTGGATAAAGACGTTGGTTAAATCCAGTGTCTAGACCCAAGGAGTTGTTGATACCAGGCAACAGCAGTGGTGAACAAAAACTTGCAGATTTGAGTTAAAGGAAATAACTGAGATATCCGGAAGAGGCATGGCACGTGGAACTAGAACAATCTAACCCCCCCCCCACCGTGGACGAAATATAGGGTTCGGTTCAAAATTTCAATCGCCTGAAGAAGGCCGGAGCGTACAACGGCCAAAACGTTGTGAATATGGCAATGATGATGAGAATAACAGTCCATAAAATATAAATAATGTAAATAATCATAATACCTCATCTCATACCAGATATAAACAGAATTTATTCTCTTATGCACAAATTTACTGGTTTTCTTTCCCTTGGAGCAAACTTAAATATTGTTAACTAGTGCTGGGCTTTTCGTGTAGTGTAATGATTAACAGCTCGACAAGCTGAGTTCGAATTCCGGTCGAGTTCGCTGTGTTCCCATTACCTCAAATATCCTCGGGTAAGGTATGGAACTATCTCTATCCCCCGTTATGGGTTAAATAGCGAGGCAAACTGGACTCTCTAGCCTGTGCTAACAACAAGTTTAGAAGAAAAACAAATCTGAATTTAAAAAAAAAGGTTAATGTACTAATGAAAAGATAGAAGCTATTTAGCCTCAGTTAGGAATCTATCTGAAGATTGTGAATCAGTAAAATACTCATCTCCCAATAGGATCTACGGGATTGTTCTGTTAGAAAAAAAATACGAGTGAATTTGTTACGTGATTAGCATAAGGCGGAAGCACGGATAGCGGCTCGGATTGAGTAATCGGAGAGCCGAGTTCGAATTCCAGTCGAATCCATTACCTTCACTTACATGCTAATACCCTTGGGAAAGGTATAGATCCTCTTCTTCTCCCCCACCCAACCTATGGATGAGTAGCAGGAGAGACTGGGTTCTATATCCTTGAATGCTGCGGGAAAAATTGTGCCTCGTCAGTCATGTATCGAAAGATACATGATCGCCTAAGCGTGTATTACGCATGGCACATAACTGACTGATTGGCATAATCTGCCGCAAATAGAAGTAGCGTCCTTTTTTTTTTTCATCTAGCATTGAATAGGTTACAGGGACTGGTAAGAATGCTAGAGCAACAAGACATAACACGTAACAGCAGATCAGGGTATATGCAAAAACATTTCCTACATCTGATTACAGATTTACTTAAAACTGAAATAAAAATTGAAAAAAAAAACAATGTGAAAAAAAATTCAAGTCATACTCCAACAAAAAAAAAAAAAAAAAAAAAAAGAATCACTGAATATTAATAACTCGTTTCAAAATCTCCGTAAAGGCAACTCAATCTTTTAAGCATTTTAATTTCTTTTTTTTTTCATCTTCCTTTTCTTCTTCGAATGCAAATTAGTCTTTCTCATTTCGTTTTGTTTTGTTTTTTGTTTTTTTTTAATTTTTTTTCCCCTGCTGGCTTCTTTATTTCATTCTATTTGCATATCATCAGGACCACCAGATCGGATGAGCAGGAAGGCGGAAGTTGAACGCGGCAACGAAATCTCGTTCTGCTCAATAGCGCGTGACGAGACATTGCTGATGCTAACGAGATTTCGCCTCATTACACTCAAAGACCGATTGCAGCTCTTTTAATAAAGCGCTTCTGGTGATTTCTAACTTCATAAATATCGTCACGACAACAAAGTGAATTCAAAAATGTCCACAGATTCACGTCGCTGGTATTCTTGATCAGTTCTTCAAATTTCCATTCAAATGAGTTTTTATTTTTTACTTAATTTCACATAATTTACTGTTTACTCCTATCAAATGTTCTTTGTTCCTATTGTTTAATGACAATTATACGCTTAAAATTATTCCGTACGAGTGCAGACATTTAAATCGATATTATGCTACGCTTTAATACAATGGCTGGCCGCTCCTATCCAAGAATACCTGGCTGCTAGGACGGATAGACAATCCCTGTTAGAAACTCCAGCACAGTCATATCTGTGTTTGTTCATCCACCTGTAACTATGTTGAGCGGACCTTAGTTACAATCTAGGAGAGAAGGTTCTCGGTCACGATGACTTTCCACTTCGTGCGACAAAAAACTCCGGTTATTTAATTTAATTAACTTAGTATGGTGCATTGATTTCAGGCATTTTCCATCACATTTGTGACCGACAATGGTGAGATTCGAACTCGAACCACATAACTGGAAAGGGAACGTACGAACCACTCGGCCAAGCTTCCATTATCTATCCACCTAACTAAGACTGATCGCCGGATTTGCAAAGACAAGGGCAGACGCCACCAGCAAAAATATGCTCGCAAGCCAGAGAGAGATTATCAGATCTATTAGGATTGCCCCTCTGCATTGTATATGGCCGGGTGAGAACACCGACGGTCTGTCCCATTGAGCCTTAACTAATTTCACTCTTTATGGTACCAGCAGGAGACAGGTCGCCAATGTTCAAAGGAAACATTAATTTGAGAGCTCTATACAGCGAGGCGTAAACAAAAATCGGAAGCCTCCCAGCGCAATACTGTTGAAACCTCTTAACTTATTGATTGTTAAAATAGACCAATGATGGGCATGTTGAGATGGCGTCGTTGGACTCCTCGGGCATGTCCCATATCTACCGCGCACAGGAGCCTGATCGTTAAAACCCTCTTTGCGCTAGAGAAAATTTTGTGCTTTTCAACATCCTTCGCGTCCATAGTAAAACTTTAGGATCTCCGATCTTTTTTGGAATGTGCCAATTCTTCCTTGGATACGCGGTAGACGTCTTCATCGAAGTCATGAGGTGGTTTCCTATTTTTTTTTTCTGCTTTGGAAATGTTCTTAGCGCTTCGCAGCACTTTTGATGAGTAATGCTTTTGTTGTGACTGTGAAGATGTTGGATTGGAAGTGGAGATTGGTGGCATTTGTGTAGAAGGGGCTGAGAAGGAGATGGCGTGGTTTTCTTTAATCCGGCCATTTCGTAGGGGGTAAGACTCAATGATCTTCTCATTATGGGAGGGGACATTATTTTTTTAATGTTACGGAAGACGGGGTAGATCATGAAGGGCCTTGAACTCACTCTGACTTTTGTTTCTTTTCCCTCTTTTCGTCCAGTTCTTTTTTCAGTTGTCTCAGTTTCAGAATGTTGTCCCAACTAGGCCCCCACTTCTTCTGTACATTCGTTGTGGCAGTAGCATACGACGCCGGGGCATTGCCCTTAGACCTGTTAGAGGGAATGGGGCTGTAGACGAATTTTACTCTGGAGGCTTCAGCATAATAACGAAGTCACGTCCCCGTTCAGGTTGTCATAGATAGCGCCTAGAATTTGGCCATGCTGACTTAAGTAGGCAGCTATGTGCTCTATCACCTGAGGAGAGACCACATATACTGCTATAGGGTCCTGCGTCGACACTCATATTCCTTTCTTAGGATTAGGTCTTTGGTCATTAACTCTCGCCTCGCCGAATCTATAGAATCTTCCCCTGCGGGCAGCAGTACGTCCCAGATGAAAAATCCGTTAGCTTTTATAAATCTTTAGGGTTTGACCCCCAGGAACATCAGTGATCGATCATTGCGTATTTCGCTAGCGACAAATTTTGCGTGTACGCTTGTCCACTAAGAAGACTGACACTATTTTCTTTTCGAACTGCTGTAATTCTTGGGGGTCATCCAAAAGTCCATCTTCCTAATAAGTTGTTTATAACTTTTGACCATTTCCAAATATACCACGGTGTTAATAACACATTTCGGTGGGGTCTGCCAGCAAGTGAGCGACTCCCCGGCTGTCGCATTCTTTAATGCTTCCATTGATTTTGACACATTATTTATATAAATATTTTCATGGCATTGTTCTAATGAGCTATCCTTCTTGGTTCATGGGAACTAGTTAGGACTTCATAGAGACTTCTAGGTGTTTTTTATGGTACTAGTAAGAATGGTAAGTAACAGTGTGTTGTTTTGATGTAAGGAATACTGTGGTATGTTTGGGTCAGTAATTGTGGTTAGTTAAGTTTAAGATAAGACAGATTGAAGACGAGCCTTCCACTCATCCCCCTTTTGGCCTTGTGCCACATTTTTGCATTTGCAAAATAAATATTGCTCGCCTCCTTGGTACGTCGTCTGCATGATTTTAAGCCTACTACTGGCTAAAAGATCTCATCGTTTTACTGTTGAAATATCACCCCAATAATAATTTCTCGTACTTCTAACCTGTGGAAATATCTTATGATTTTTTTCCTCCTGGTGCAGCTTAAATTCTTTCACTCTCACAAAAACATCCCCAGTCGACCTACGGACAACCAGCAGACGTAGATGAAAATTCCTACGAGACGCTCACCCGCACACACACGCATACACATTATCAACCGAATCCCACATAGAAAAATTATAATCCTTATTCACACACACAAACACACACATGAATTATACACTGCTGAACAGGACAGATACACCTGAGGTTTGCTTAACCAATGAAAAAATAAACAGACCTATACGTATTTCATTTTCTGATGAAGCTTTAATAAAAGCGAAACATGTTAAATCTAAATGATTCCTATTTGTTCC